GAAAGTCGTGATACTGCGATTTTCACAATCTTTAACCGTTTGTAGCTCATAGAAACATTAACCAATTTCGATGAAATTTTTAGCGTGCGTGTCATTGACATAGATCTACAAAACGTATTTTTTAAATTTTCATTACGAACTCAGATATAGAAGTTGTAAAAACGACCTTCGCGATTCCGACTAATTGCAGTTTTTTCAAGAATTTATACAAACGTCGGAATGACGGCAAAAGACCATTTCTCTAAGCCTTATAAAAATAGCGGTGCAAAGTGAAATTTTTTTGACAGCGATCGATAACCGAGAAGTCACGCGTACGCGTCGTTCACGACAGCGCGCGGGTGAATCTCTATTCGTTCGTCCCTGAGCGCGGGCGCTACGGGTGCTGTGATTGGCCAGTGTTTTTCGTTAATAACTCGAAAACGAAGCTTCAAACTACATTTTGGATAAGGAAAAAGTTGTTCAGGGTCACCCCAGCAACCCCCCATTTCCAGGTGGTCCCAACGTTACGGGACACCCTGTATATCTAATTCAATCATATCCATTTCTTACATTATCCCCAGTACTAATTCCCTTGCAACCCAGCCCTTCTTACCAAAATTCCTCCTATAAGTATCTTCCAGTCATTTCGCAAGAATATCCTTGCGCTATTACTTACAAACATATGTCCGGGCCGATCGCTCGATTTTTACAGATGTGGGGATGATGATGATGCAGACTGGCATGGTGAAAGGAAACACTGCCTACAGCAGTTACCTCGACGGTACGAGTTTTACACCTTCCTCTCCATCCTGTTCATCCTAATGCACATCTTTGATTGAATTGTGTTACTAACTTTGTCAGAATAATCTTAAAGAGTACTCCAGGTACAGAAATCATTGTGGGGTAACATGTGATAAAGAAGAAATGTATTATTCTGACAAATTTTCTCTGTTCGAGTCAAAACTGAAAAATATGCGGGTATACGAGGGTGGATTGAAAAGTTCGCGGCCTAAGTATGAAGGATTGTTGCTAGATGATATGTAATCATTTATGTACTAACGTATGGAATTTCAGTCGTTATTTTTTTCTCTTTTACAACTAGTGAAGTAGAGGTATTTGCAGTAATGGAGTAGAGATGGACGAAAGTGAAAAACGAGCGGTGATCCAATGTCAGATGATAAAGGGCCTCACTGTAAGAATCAGTCAAGGTTCTTGCAACGAGGTCCTTTGTCACCAGGTATTGGATTATTTCTCACTTTTGCCCATCTCTTCTCCATCACTGTAAACATCTCTACTTCACCAGCCACGTAAATGACAAAGCCACGTAACTTCGTGCGCCAGTATGCAAATGATCACACATTGTACAGTGAAAATTACAAGCAGCTAATAGCAATCTTTCATACTTAGACCGCGAACTTCTCAATCCACCCTTCTATAAGTCGCAGAAACGGTGACGTTATATGAAAACGTTTGGCTTAAGCAGAGTTTAATTCATTTTACGTTTCACCAGCTAAGGTGGTGTAAGTGATACACAAAATGCAAAGCAAGTTCGATGTTTGAATGGTACACCATCACGTATCACTTACTCCACAGAATTTGCGTTTGAACGTTTTGTACTTTGACATCGTTCGATGCGTATTGTTTCTCGCTGGGCTTTTGCTATAGCTGACATTTGGCGAGCATCGTTCTTTAACAGAGCAGCAACGTCAAATTCAAGCTGGACGAAGATCGTTTACACGTCGTATATGTACAAAACTGTTTTTAATACAAAGTGCGCTTTAATTTTCATGAGAAATCAATGCTTTTGCAGATATGCTAATTTTGCTAAGCACGTTCTATGAAGTCGTATATTCTGTGTTTACACGTTCATGGCTGTTACGTCTCACTGATTAACAGATTTGCTCGATTTAGGCTTGCCAATGAGTATCGTTTTTAACCGTTGTTTGATGTGCTTATATCAAATTTTTTTAATTATTTTCTGACAAGTTGTAAACATATAGTTCGAAAGTGACTGTTTTGTTTTTCAAAGAAATTTTCTCTATTTTGAGTAAGACAATGAATTGAACAACTTCTAATTTGCAGATCGATTTAATTTGTGAACTGATTAGGTACCGAGGATTCTACAATTTTTATGCATCACTTTTCATGTGTGTGCAATACAAGAGGAAGCCTCGAGGTATAATGTTGTCTTTTTAATAATGTTTTGCATAAATTTCAACATTGGAACTGCTGATATGTGCCGATATACGTATACTGTTTCAAGTACGAATGATTAAGAATTCGTGAAAGATATATTTACTGTTAAAGTTTGAAAGATCTCATAAAGTTTGAAGTTTCTCATAATTTAAAATGTGTGTGGCACAACCGATAAACCGATTACGAGAAAATTGCACTTTCTGCCGGCAATTTCGAATTACAATGGTACCTGTTTCTTTTTTGCACATTCTTCAAGCAGTATATTTCCATGTAATATTCACATATTCATGTCTAAAATTATAATAAGTAAAAATTGAATTTAAGGTCATAATCTTTCACATTGGTACGAGCATTATAATTTCTT